TAAAAAAACTACTACTCGTATATTAGTGTTTGTTACAAATACTAAAGATATTCGTAGTGAACTAAAATTATTTTATACAATAGTCCACATTGTCTTGGAATACTGTAGTATAGTTAGTCGTACATACCACTTTACGTGTATTTAATGGAACGAACGTGTTCAATAGAGAATTCTATAGCATCCCTCGTATTCTAATAGTAAGTCGTAAAAAGAATATACAGCATCTCTTGAGAAACGGAAGCTTTTCATTTAAACATATGTTAAAGAATAGAAGCTTTATTATGTAACTGGAATGGTAAATAAGCTGATGGTCAACCTGGTAAGTGGCAACAGTCGTTGTGACGGAAGGACTATATTTTAGGCTGGTTTGAAATGAGGCACGTTCCTAGGTGAGGTAAAATTAGCGTATAGTGGTACAAGAGCAAAAACGAATAGACAAGGAATATCGCATTAGAAAACAATTGTGGATATATAAAAACAGAATGTCAAAATTTAAATACAAAATAATAAATAAAAAAAACTATCAAAAGGGTTGCCTTCGGCAACAGTCATCGTTGAAAATGAAGAGCGCCATGGATTTTACGTTATGTGTGATCAGTACTGATCTCATAATGTCATTATATAATATTTTAAGAAGTATGAATAATATTCTTTGATAGAATGTTTATTATTTTACATTTAGATAAATGTGCTGTAAAAACAACTGCTGGTTTTCCTCATAACGATGTGGGTTAACGAACTATCACGTTTCAAAAATATTACTTTGATATTCTCACGCATAATTCTAAAACGTAATAACTAATAAATATTGGGGTAATGAATTTTAAAGCATTTTTAATATCATTTAGGATGTTTAAAAAATTACATGAGGACGACGGCTCGAATAAACTAGTTTCAAACATTTTCCTATTTGTCACCCCTATTTTATCGACACGTGCAATGGTGGATTTCTAAGTTGTTTATATGACCGCTTTTAGGTTAATTTCATACTGAACTTGTTATGATGAAGTGCTATTTATATTTAAGTACGCCATATAAGATGGTTTGTTTACTATAAGAATAATGATCTTCTTTGTATTATATTTTGAAGCACTGAACATGTCGCTATTTAGACAGGATATTTCGTAACTAATGGTTTTTCCTGGAATAATAGGTGTTACTTAACATATAGATTTATAAATAATAGTTCAGGTGAGTCTCTTCCCAGTTGTCTTAATAGAAGCTGAACTGTGATGGTAGTAAAAAAATTGGTGTATACAGTTGAGTTGCAAAAAATATCTTATATGAAATATTTTTTTAACATCTTATAATCGAATTACTTAGATTCTATATTGTTTGAATATGGGATACTTACTCTTGTTTAAAATTTCAAATAACTCTAAAAGTTAAGACTCATAAATATTTATTATTTACATAGATTTATTGCATATTTATAGGTATCAGTGGAAGAAGAGGTCATGACGGGGATAAAGATAAGGCTTATATTTGCAAAGAATGTATTTAAGTATTTGTTATCAGTTGTATACATAGTATAAACTCTGCTTAGATTCGAACTAAATGATGCTGTGTGAGTTGTCTAGGATTATTTATTTATTATGTAACATTTACTTTCTCTTTTAACAGCTTTTTTCTTTGAATGTCTGCTCAATTTTTTCCTCTTCCATCAGTCAAGATGTGCTCGCGTGATCCTTTCGCAATTGCGGGGCTGTCACAACAAGATTGAAGACATGCTCTGACCTCATTCTTCATAATATCTCGTCATTTTATTACGCTTCGTATCATCATCTCGCGTTTACTAAACCTTTTATAAGATATTATAATGATATAGGTATTTATTTATTTATGTTAACTTTACTGCTTGGCAGTATGTATTCACACAAAATTCTTAAAAATGTAATTAACAATATTTTTTTTAAAGAGCAACACGTAAGTATCTTGTTTATTCTTCTTGTGATGAGTCTATATTATAAGTGAGTGGTAGAATAAAAAATATGCCTATTCAAAAGTACTTATATTATGAAACGATTTTAAAAATAAACTTAATGTTGGTTATTTTTAAAATCGTTTCATAATTTATTCATTTTATCATTGCAAACAAATCAACAAATATTTCCTCTTATAATTTTAGATGAATTTCTATTAGCCATAACTATTTCACAAAATGGATGTCATTGAATATGTTCGTAGTGATACAAGTATTCTATAGTCCAGCTCTTTGATACCATGAAGGTCGTAGGCTAGAATCTAATCGAGTAAAACGAAAGTGGGTTGGTTGCCCTTGAAATTCCAAAGCGTAATACAATCGCAGTCGAATGACGCAGGCAGGCGAAACAGTTTACATAACAAAACGTACAAAATGCATATGTACCTGTAAGTTATGATACTGAAAAAAAAAAAATTAATTCAAGAATTTGGTAATAGACATTAGTCATAGTCATTTATTCATAAAACAATAATATAATTGTGTTTGAATATAAATACAATTCATAAAAAATATTGTTTTTTTAATTTAAATTTGAATAAGGCGGACATGACATTCGTGAATAACGTTCCTATTAGGTAGAGTGCGGGATAGTTCCAATAGTGTCCTGAAGGCAATTGCCTGTAAAATATACAGTCCCATGCTAAGTCGCTGGGTGGAACAGGAAATACCTTAGGGTTTATATTTTTATTGTATTTATAATTACTAACATAGGTTAAGTTATGTTATTTAAGTTGTTACTAACAAAAGGTTGTTGTTATTTGACAATAAATTATTATTATTAGACTTATAACAAGTTCTTATGTAAGTTGTAACGATATAGACTTTTTAGAAAGACTGTGCTCAGTCTCACCGGACTATGTTTTGTTTGAAGTATCAAGATAAAGGCAGTGAAATTAAAGAATGCGAATACGAGGTAAGATATCTTAGTCTTAGTAGTCCTCCGAAATGAGCGGTATCCCGGGCGTGACATCATCACATGATATTGTTCATGTATGTATGCGGCGGTTGCCACTTACAAGCATATGGTGTCATTCTAATTGCATAAAAATATGATAATTTTTGTAATTTGCCGCGAAATACAATGAATAACATCCGCGACTCATCTTAATAATATTATAAATGCGAAAGTTTTTAAATATGGATGTTTGATACTCTGTCAAGCAAAAACTTCTGAACAGTTTTGGATGAAACTTTACAGTAATATAGCTTATGCATCAGAATAACGTATAGGTATAACAATAGTATATACATACATATATTTTATTATAAAATTTAACGCAGGCACAGCTTTTACGTTCTATTTATGTAACAAGTGTAATATCGATACAGTTTTATCAGAATCATTACCCTGAAAAAAGTGTTTCGCCAATAAGTATAGACGGTGACCCGAAACTCGTTGCTTTTGGGTGTTTTCATAAACTTCCTTTATTGCCACGTTATGCTGTAACATACGCCGAAACGGCACTTTCCCAAATACATGGGCAGTAATGTGGTTCAATACTAAAGTTCTAATCGATACGGTATCGTTTTTATTAACATTGTCTTCGTTACTAATGGTTCTGTCATAATCGTGCTTTGTATGGAATTTGAAATGACGCATGTCTTTGTAGTCTACCTGATAGAAAATGGTATTTAGTGGTAACTTTTTTATATTGACAGTGAATATTATCGCTTGTTGATTAATATATGAAAGATATATAAAAACTAAAAGATCCTATTAATTTATTCTGAACTATTGCAGTTATATTTTTAAATTAAGGAAATAACTCGACAGTAAATTATAAGATAGTTTGACATATATCTAAATAGCAGAATATTTCTATATACATTTTATGAACACCATATAATACTATAACGCCTATATATTAAAGTTGGTAGAATGCTTTTGCAAGCAAATGACGTAACAGTATATTTATTTGGTAAATGTTGAAACGAATGTCTTGAATAACGTATTGTGTTTTTACGTATTGTACCTATGTATATTCTTATATATCTATAATTAATGATTGTTATAACCTATATTAAATCAGCTTTGTCAGTAATGGCCCATCGCAAGGCGGTTCCCAATCAATAAGCACTTACTGCGTCACATTCATGGCTCAGCTAAACTGAATAAGTGTAGAGTTCCTTAGTTCTTTGACCCACGAAAAACGGATGTATATAACGCTATTCATGAAACACTCATAATGGACTCTTCAACAACCTTCGTAGTCCAGTATGCTAATTCGCAAACTGGGTTGCGTGTTCGATGGTCGATAGAACTATTTAAGGCGAAATGTTAAATAAATTTACTTCAGTCAGGGTTGATATACCCCGATCTTACTGCTTAGGTCGTCAACATATTTTTTTTATTTGATTAATACAACGTCATAATTTTGATATCATTGCAATTGAGATATTTCTATTTTATATAATGAACTCTAAAGTTTATAACGACTAAGGTTTATAATTACATGTCCACAATGCGAGGCAGATTACCGATCCAGTTGATCAGGACTGCTGAAATCAAAGCGCACGTGCCCTGAATACCCTTGGCAATTTCATTCGAGAGCTCTATCTCGTTTGCATTTTGAAGTACCCTCCCGTCTCGATTGTAATACGAAAACATGGCTATAACTGTGTACATAGATCAGCAATCGTTATGAACTTTTAACATATAGCTTATACGTGGGAGCGGGGAGCAGAAGTACGTATATGCGGGGTAGGCGTGTGTTACAACTACGCCGTATTCATCGACGGCTAATGGCCGCCCAGTACTGAACAGGGACAAGTGACGTCATTATAAAAATCGCACTTTGAATTAAGTAATTCCAGTCGACCCCAATTTGTACTTGGGGTAATTGTAAAGTAATTGAAACAGTCGGGTTACTGTGTACTATTATTTGCGACGTTGGTGGATGCGCGTCAGGCACGTTGCGCACGGTGGCGCTAGATCGAAGGCTCGGGAGCCCGCCGGACGCATGCGCCGCCGCGGCGCCGCCGCCGACTCCGCTGGCGGCCCGCAGTCGCACCGCGCACCCGACCGCGACGCGCCATGTCGCCAGTTGCCACTTGACGGAGCACTCAGCTCTCACCAGTTGGAAAACAAAAGTGAAAACTCGAGTCGGTTCCACATCTGCTTCTAACGACGGACTCGGGTAAGTCCATAGTAGGTGACCGCTCCCCTTACAGCTGTGCTAGAGTGCAGTGTACAAGGTTAAAGTGCTTTTCCTGGATACAGATCTGGAATGTCTTAACGGGGGATGGTAGAGGGCGCTAGTGGGCACCGTGAGTCATCTCTGCGACACGTTTTCATGGCCGCCCTTCGATCTCGCGATCCTTCGTAGGTATTCCTCGGATGGTATTGCAGTGTCCGTTACGTAAGCGATTTAGAAGTGCAGCAGCTGCGGTGCCTACACTTTCAACTATAGTCCATGCGCACTCGAGCGCGGCCAATTACAGCACGCGAGGATTGCTTTCAGGAAAACATTCACCATTTTGTACGCGGACCTTGTGTCGGCGACTGCGAGTTCGGTTAAGACGACAGTGCTTTATCATGATATCGTATATTACTGTGTGGTTTAATAAACAATTGTACGATTTGTGTGAAATATTTGGTGGATTGTGAAAGTGTTTCTTTAAGTGGGTTTTGTATATTATTTGAGTGCAACAATACGAAATTACATAATATCGGGCGTTTGTGACGTATGTACCTAATATTATTTTGTAATGAGATTCTAGTACCTAGGTTTAATTGCACTGCACGTAAATAATTATTATAACATGCTATTTCCAATTGTATCAAAATTTATTACTAACAGACTACGTGTGTTAATTATAACGTAACGAAATATTACAATCAGTGAAATCGTATTAAACACTGTATTAATATTATTTTTATGTTAGTTAAATGAGTTTCACAATAACATTGAATATATAAAAAAATATGTTGATATTTTATTTATTCATAAAAACATAATATTAAATGTATATAATTTTAAATTACTAAAAATTTTTTGTTGACATACATATGTCAATAGAACCATGTTACTCGGCAATAAATTAAATTTGTTACCTTCACTTAATAACACAATACTGTAATTTGTGTTACGTAGATGGTAAAAAAAATGTATCATTTGTTGAGCGCGCGCATAGCGTATCGTCGCAACAATTTTGACCGTCGTGCGGTCGCGCAGGCGTGTCTTCAACGGGAGTTTGCTCTCATTTTTTCGTAATGATCTCGCCTCACGTAAGATTTTGTTATATTTTATTGCTATTTTGATTCGTATATGCTGTTACAGTTTTATAATATTATTAGCTGAACCGATAGATATTGCATTCTTTTGTCAGTGATAATAGTCGTTTCGTTTGAAATTTACCAATTTTCGCATACTTTTATTCGTTCCGAAAGAACCTTCTAGTAAGTATTACATGTATAGAGAAGTCTGAAATTGGTTTAGTCGTTCTTAAGTAGATCGATCAAGGGAAATACTAATTACATCTAGATATGCGTATATTAACACGGATGAGTAGTACAAAACGAACAAATTATTATCAGTAACATATAATAGCTACAACAATGTAAGGTTCTGAACAATTAACGGTTATTTGATAATATGTTAATTGTGTCAGGTTTTGTAAAAATATATAAGTAATTTCAGTTTTCTATCACTGCGGTTTTTCACTTTCAAAATCAAAAATCATTGATTCATGTAGGATTTTAGCAGCTTATGAACGACATTTTTTTTGTAATAATATTTAATTCCCTACTGTCCAGTTCAGTATATAGATTCAATTAAGAAGAACTGTCAAGAAACTCAATTGAATATTTTTTTAAAAGCCAATTTATTATATTTACTCATATCTATGTCTAACATTAAATGAAGATCCCGTGCATGAACAACTATATATATATATTGTCGTGCACTTTTGTCATTTAAGTAATTTTAAGTATAAAAGTTTGTCCTGATAAATCTATAATAGAAGATTTCAAATTTAAGTAATCATTACTTAAATTTGCGTGATCCCAAAGATAAACACTGAAGCTAATGAACATATTACCAAAAAACGTACTGTATTAAGTTATTTGTGCTCAAATTAATCCAAAACCGGTTAGTCGTTGTATTTAAATGCATATAATAATATCAATATTCAAGTTTCAAGTTTGCTTCAACTGAGGAATCAGATCTGTATATTGAAACAGATAAAGTATAAAAAATAAAAGTGTTTTAGTAGTGTTCTTCCCTCTATATAGATTGTCAATGGCGTAATTGGCACAAAAACTTAGATAAATGTAAGCTTATAGAATTGTCTCGAATAGTCTGGCATTTGCCATTGTAAGGTCTTCTGCCTCCCACGCGCACCCTCATTAGTTCTCGACTTCAGTTGCGACTATAAATATTCTCTCTTATTGCCTTGGTATTTGAAATTGGAACCTGTTTTTTTGCCTTTTGGCATTTGTAGCTGGAGACGTTGTATTTTTCGGCGATTAGTTATGTAGGAACATTCTTTGTTCTGGTATATTTGTATATAAAAAAAGGGTCAGTATGCTTTAAAAACCAAACATTAGTCGATAATATCTTCATAGCTAATAATAATATATCTGCTGTACTCTTTTATATAGATACGTATAATAAAATCATCCTATTACGATTCAGTCTTTATATTTGTTCGAACAACAATCATACATATAAGAAATGTAAATTGTTCTCTTTGTTTGATTTATTACATTTAAAATCCTTCTGTCAAGATTGTTACATACTTGTATTAATACTGATCATAAAAATTTAGTTCAATCAAAATATCATGCAATTGCAATGATCTTTGCATCCCATATGAAATCAAATTGAAATATCTTGTTCATGGATGTCTATAACAGATATATTTTTACACTACGATGCTGGAAAACATACACTTATGTTAAATCTAGCAGTCAGTTCGGAATATACTTAGAGCCGAGAAGAATATTAGTATTAGTAGAGTATTTAAAATGGGTTAAAATATTTCATATATAAATATTTCATAAGTTTGTTAATTACAAACAACAGAACTATCGGTCTAAATCTCTTATTAATTTTATTTATCTTTTCTTTTTATATTATGATACCGAATTCCTTACGAGGCAGCATATTTTGTTTTATGGACGTTTGTTTTTGGTACTCTTTCACACTTTGATAATTCATTCAATTAGAGATTTGGATGAGTTATGTTTATCCTTCGAAATAAAGTTATCTCAAACAAAGAGGCTGGTAGTATTAGTGGGTTTTATTAAATTATTTATTGTTTTTATGTAATTCGAAATCCACAAAGAAGCTAACGACCGACCTGATAGTAAATAATAACTGTCGCCTAGCACTACATCCATTACGTTATCATATAATGCCTGCGACTCTATTTGCCCTTTGTATTCAGGAGGATAAGGATGTCTTGGCTCTCATTATGCAATCTCACCGCCATCTACCCTTCAATCGAAACAGCTTACATACAAAGCAAGCTGCTTGGCGCCTGTTGGTAACCTTGTGACTGAGATATTCAAGCTGACAATTATTTAAAAAGCCTATCTCAGTAAATAAACATTATTTTAAAAACTAATAACCGTTCTGCTAAAGAACAATGAAGGTTTTAATAACCTTGAATGAATGCACATGCAACAAATTGATCCCGTTAGGCGCTGGAGCGTTTATAAACAAACTTGTTTTTAGCAGTGACTTAGTTTTCCCTATTTTGCCTGTATATGAATGGATTTGGGTCAGTCAATGTATTTCTAGCGGAATGGAAAAAGACTGATGGTAGATTTGACATATCATAAGAGTCTGTAATAGACTTACATGAATAAAGATATTTTTATATTTTGATTTTTCAAATTTTGAAAATACGTATAGCGTATCGCTGACAAACTTGAGAATGCTTTTTGTTTAGATTGATTACACTTTCATTCTTTACATACGCAAGTTTCTCACTCGTTCTTCTTGTGATGAGTCTGCGTTCTGAAAGAGTGGTAGAATAAAAAAAAAATAGGACTATTCAAGAGTGCTTTTATTACGTTTATTTGAATAAAGAATACTTCTGGTTCTATCTGCAATATTTTGTTGTTGAGTAATCTCGCAGACATACACTTGACTAGTGTACCACTTAATTGCTCGATTGATTTCTTATTAGCTGTTTTGGGAACTCATTATAATGTTGTATCGGTTTAATGTATAAAAACAAATAGTTCACAATTTTGTAATCTTATAATTTTTTTAATTACTTTTATATTGTTCAGATTTGAAAGGGCTAAAGTCAATATCCAGATTCGAATGGTTGACCCGAGAAGATGCTATAGGTAGCAAAGAGTTCTTCATCATATTGGAAAAGTATGGATTTAGTGTCATCTTAATGTACCGTTGATATGTTATTTTGATTATTCACCAGTCTAGGAAGTCAGTCCGGTGTAGCAGTAAACTAAAGCTATGGCCAAATATAAAAAAATAGTTAATAAAACTAGCTTTTATGTTGGGTTTTATAAAGTTTATTTGAATTGTATACTTATTTTTTTTAAGTGTAACGTTCAAGTAAAGTTATAGCAGATACATGAACGTAATAAATTTACGTCCTACTCTATAATTCGTTGATGTTGTTTACAGGGAAATTGTGCTTCTCCTTCCTTAAGCTATATTTTATATAGCTTGTATTAAATCTTGTGATACAAACTACTTTCATATCTTTCAAATATTTAGTTATGAATATGTAACAAGCAAGCCTGTATTCGTTGTACCATCTTTCTATATATTATCTTTTTTTACATGCGTTCAGCCGAGAAGTCAGACAACTAACTAACAGACAGACACATTTTTGTTTAGAAATTATTAGTTTTAAGATTGGAAAGTAGATAAATTTTCAACAATAATAACATATGTTTATTTTGTTTCAGGTTTAACAAAGTGCTAGTACCGATGCTTTAAAGACTATAAAACAGCGAGCACAAGCCACAGCCGCCATGTCGTCGGTGAAGGTGGCGGTAAGGGTCCGCCCCTTCAACACGCGAGAGATCTCCAGAGAATGCAAATGCATTATAGAAATGTCCGGCAATACCACAAGTAAGTGCACTTACCTTATTCGTTGACTTCTTTCATGCATTCCATTTTATACCTTGCTTTCCAGTTTATATGACTTATTGTTTTGTAACAAAGAACTTAAGCAGCAGGTTACTCTGTAACGTATTAAATTCGTTAGAGGGAGATGGGTTGACATATGGGTTTTGACACTTCTATATTAACTTTTTGTGCCACCAAGTAGCTAGGTTTTTTGGGGTGAGGTATGGAAATATAATTTATTAGTTACGAATACGTAAATATTTTTATCTTCAAAGACAACATATAAAAGTTACTAATGCCACCACTTATTGTAATATTATGAGTTTCGACATTCTATGTGTAAGACTCTATAATGTTTATTCGACAATAACTACCGACAACATTAATTGTATCTATGTTTTGGAGTATTTTTTCCAGCTTTATTTTATCCTATGGTTGACTCATATTTAGCAACATATGTTTTAGAACTACAATATCTTTTCTAATTTTGAAGGTAACTAAACATTTTCACTTGTAAATGTCTTTACAGTATAGCACTATAATTAGGAAACTATAACGATAATTCCGAGTATATTTATACTAGCTGTTACCGAAAACTTCATGCGATTTTTTTATATTAAAAATAGCTTATGTTATTACTCTCTACTTACTTTTAAGTTTACACTTTAAAATCCATACAACGGTAACTGATGGATGAATGACAACTACGGCTACTGCTAAAATAATGCGTAACATATGAACAAATATAGAAAAGAATTTACTGAATGATGAACTTAGTCAAGTAAAAGTTTAAAATATAATAGTAGGTCTATATTATCTATAGTCATAATTGAACGTAGGATGGTCATTTTTGATTGACTTCAACGAATGATATTATTTTAAACCATTCCGCAATTTTTTAAACATATTTTCTTATAAGTCCATCTTTTTTGTGCTATAAGTGTTGATTAGGCAGACAAAGTATCTAAATTTAGTTAATGTATAAATAAAAGTCCTCTATTCGGCCATTTGAGTATTGTGAGGAGTTTTATGGCTAATAAATGTGATTTTAGCCCCTTAAAAGGGTTTTGTTTTCTTGCGAAGTCACCTTGGGTCCTTCTCGCATTAGACCTCGAAACTTTATGAAGAGTGACTTTAACAACGTACTAAACCACTTTTGCCCTTTACGTTGGCGATAAACTGTGAATAATAATGCTCAGGGCAGTTAAATACGTAGATGTCTTGCGTCCAATTCAATGGTACTGAATGATACTGGTCGTTTTTTAAAGCAACGTTTTAAGCTATTGCTACCAATTAAATGTGATTTACTTATATCGGAATATAATATTGTAAGTACAAAAGAAATAAACAATATGATTTTTAATATTACGATTTTAGAATAATATAATTTAATAATGACGTATGAAAATTTAAGTAGTGTCTTAAACTAATAGAGCTTGCACTGTAGCAAACAACTTGTGAAAATACTAAAATCCATATATACGTAGAAAACATATTAACAACCAAGTATAATACGAAAATTGAACAGGCAACTATGGGAAATAAAGCGGTGTACTAAACCGCTACCTTTTTCAGGGTGTACCTATACACCCGAAATGATATAGTCCTCATTCTCTCACGGGAGTTAGAATAATTCATCTGCTATAGAATCCGTTCAACAGCTCGATTTTGCTAGTAATTTTAATATTTCAGTAGACGATGCGCAGTAGACGGTGTCGATTTCACCGAACGAAGGTCGCGGGGGAAACCTTACTATGTAATGTCTGCAGGAATCGAACAAATACATACGTTTATATAGATAATACAGATATATTAAACGTTCAATTAAAATTATATTAAAAATGTAAATTTACACCGAGGTAGACTCTGTTAAAAATCGTCTGCATGGGTACCTCTTTCTCACCTATTTCATTCGCTATGCAACTTCCTTAACAGACGTGTTTGCAATAAGAAGTGAAATTACAGGATGAGAGAGAGGAGAGGAATCATATCTTAGTCCTTTGAAATAGTAACGCATGAGTGGTATCTCGCATATCTTTGTGTCCGTTGTAGTGTTAATGAGGTATTCATATTATTTTAAGTCTTAAAAGTATTTAGTAAAATAGATCTCGTACTTAAATACCAGTACAATAATGAAAGGTGACTCGAAGTCTTGCAGAAATGAAATTGGAACTAGTAACTGTTAAATATTCAGAAGACCTTCACTGTGCTTGGTAGTTCATGTGTAGTGTTTCCACACTATAGATACAACATGGGCTACATAGCGCTAAGGAAAACTGCAATGCATAAAAGTACATTGTTTGTTATTTAGACTTGTATTAACTTAAAATAATAAAGCCCAAGCATTTTATGTATTGTGTCCGAAAAAAAAACGAACTATGTTGTACTTGTGTGTGTGTCTTGAAAGAAATTAATTTGTATTTATATAAAGCATTGTCCATATACATTTATTATTACTCAATAAACATTGGGCAACAGTTCTATATATACCTTGATTTATAATATATATATAATATGTTCCTATTATTAATATTACTTAATATAATCTTCATTAAATACAGTCAAACACTAGAAGATGACTCAGAACTTGCTGACATCTTGACTATGCTTGGTGGTCCATGTAGTATCTATGGTGTTTCTACACTGTGGATACAACATGGACTACATGGCGTAATGGAAAACTGCAAATATTGGACTACTGATCCAAACTAACGATTACGACGTGTGTATATGTATACCCTAATAAAAATAATATGTACATATTGTACATATCGCATCATTTATTATAAAGCATTGTCTCTTTATTTATAATTTGTCAAAAAGCATTGTGCAATAGTTCAATACATGTCATGACAGTATATTGTCTATAGTCTGTTTTTTAATCTCGTGTGTTTTCTAGAGTGTGATTGTATTCTATTAACTCGTGAAATATTTTAATGATATACTGTGGATTTAAATTCTACATTAAATACAGGCTACAGTTCTACGTCCTCTTCAATTGTATATTGAAGATGGCGTAGAACTTCCTGACATCAAGTAGTTGCCGTGCATCCTTTGCTGTGCTTGGTTTCATGTTGTATCCACGGTTTTTCCAAATCATCGATACAACATGGACTACATAGCGCAGCAGAAAACTGCAAAGAATGAACTACTGCGTTTCTTTTACCTCAGTATCATACTTTGTTGTAATTTGAAGTGTATGATAATAGTATCTGGTGGAAAAAAAGTATTTTGTAATTTAAATTATTTACTTTGCCTTGTTTTTATATTTATTATTATAAGTCAATTAAATATGAATTTTATTCTTGTTATTATAGTAATTAGATTTATACTGTTGATTAATTAAAAAAATATGTGCATTGTTATATAGAAGTGTATCTAGAGATATATTACTACTGTAACACTCTCTTTACAGTAGTAATATCCTTATAATCCTTACAATAATTTGTCTCTAGATAGAAGTTACCAAGATTGAAAAGCAACAATTTAAGCTACTAATTAAAAAGTACAACAAGTCAGTAGGCTAGTGTAAATTGAAGGGTTTTTACCGTTAACACTCCATCACTCGGAGTTAACGAGCTTGGTGCCTCGTTGGAACTAGTGCATATTATACGAGTAGCATAAAGCAGTCTCTGATTTAGCCTGCAATGTCACGAAGATAAACAGACAAACTTGTAAAGCATTTTTTTTTCTCGTATAAAAACATGTAGGATTTGTTACAAAAATTATTTACGTATAGACACGTCTTGTTTATGATTTTAGTGTATATATTCTACTATAGTATACTATTGGATATAACTAGAAATTATTATATGGACATTTGTTTACTATGGTATACTTAAATATGTATCTAATTAATGCGTTAACTCAGGATTATATTTGTAAATGTTTCTTGACACCTCTGTAAAGTGTTATCATGTATCTTAATTATGAATAAGTCACAGATATTTGTGCTGTAATTATTCAATGTTTTATCTCCTACTATTTTTATATGAGTATTGTGTTAATTGTAAGTACTTAATATCTCAAGTAGCAATTATTAATCATTTTACACTTCGTTTTGTACCTGGTAAATTCTCTACGATGAGATTAGTGATCTGACTTCATTCTCATCTTATCATCTTCCACAGGTGCCTCAGCAATATACGAGTATACCGTTAGCGAAATCATCCATTAAATAAAAAAAAATAACTTCTTTTTTAGTCACCAACATTTAACAGATTCTTTGACAAAGAATGACGTTTCTTATATGTAGTACACACGTTAGTTATTGGTTGGAATGTTTAATGTAATCAGTATGAAATAATAACATATATTAGTCCTATATTACTTGTTAAACGTACAGTAATTATCAATTGCTTTCATTTTTATTACTCTTAATGGAAATATTTTTAAACATATAAATATTTTATCCTATTATAATGATAGCAAAATTCATTATCTGATTTTCAAGTTCATTGCTACGTCCCTTATGCGGGGGTGTTAAGCTCCGCGCCTAATAGTGACGTCATTACGTGCGTCACATTCGGCGACCTAAACAGAGCCGATTAATATGCATTAAAGACGGCTGAATCTATATCAGTCACGGACTTAATGGAATATGTAAATCAAATGTATCCTCTTATGAAAAATAAGTTATACCTAGTTTAATATATAGTACATTCTCATTTTGTTAGTAAAGAAGAAACTATTGACTAATTCATACAAATTATGTACAAGCTGCATTATATGAATTTACTTCACTTTCGAACTGATACTGTGAACTGGTACATGTACTGTAAATTCCTCTACCACAAGATTTAATAAGGAGTATGTCTTTTGTTTACTGTATACATTTTAATTAATAATCTTTAATCAACAGCGTTTATCCGTAATTTTGGTTTAATATATATTTGACACTATCAAAAGTTACCTTGCAGATACAGAAACTCATAAGCCATAATCACCGCACGACCAAATTTATACATCAAGAACACCGTCGCTGTGCTTGGTAGTTCATGTTG